AAAATCTTAACTAATGCTGTGTAGATATGAAAAACTCGAAATTGTACCAAAACCAGGTTGGATTGTATGTGGAATGTTAGCTATATGACAAGAAAGAATCTGGGCATAAAGTAAAGCCCTCTTATACTTGAACTATATCATGCTAATAATAACAATTGAACTTGACTCCTCTAAGCAAGAAAAAAAAAGTTTAAATTAATCAATTAGTAATTTGACACATTCAAAAGATCAGTGAAATGAGACTTTAAAAGTAATACTTATCCATATAATAATGTGAGGTTCTAGCTTAACTAAACCCGTTTAACATGACAATTATATACATATTAAGTGTTTATTGTAAAAAAATTTTTATGCGAAGCTAATCTAACAAGACTAATTTAATGTATTAAAACAATTACAATAACTTTAAAATCGCAAATTACAAAAACTTTTTGAGACAGTATTTTAAACACTAATACACAAACCCGATTGAGTTTACTTCATAATGATAAGTTAATTCAGCTATGATAACGGCTTGTTTCAGTTGTTTCAGTTAAATCTGATAAGGTAAAATATTAATTATAAGTTTCCTCTACTCTATTTAATTATTATAATACTAACGCTAAAACTTTCTTGAAAAATTGATCCAAATTATAAATATACTTAATACGATTTTTAAACAAAAAGAAGCATAAATAAAATTTGAATATATTTTTATTAATGATAACATATATCAAAAACTTATATAAAGAGATACTTTTCGCTGAAATTATATTCTAAACTACTTGACTTCACGATACCATTTTATTTCATATCATATTTATAAATTTTGACAATGCAAAAGACAAAACATAAAAATGCTGCAAAGAATCGTATACTTACACAAAGTAGAGATAGTAGCGGAAGATTTTTAAAACCTGCAAGTACAGAAAGTAGTGATTCAGAATATAGCGATCTAGAATATAGTGATCCAGAACTTTTGGTTTATGAATCCGAGAACAATAATAAGGAATACTTTAATAATGAAGAGATGGAACTTGATGATGAAGAAGCTGAGCAATTAATTTATGAAAATAATTCTTTTTATAATCTTCAATAGGATAATGAGGCATCTGGTGGTTGGTTACCATATTATTCTGGAAGTTCAAAATGTACTCAGCAATGCAAAAATAAAGGATTACGGGAGGCAGCACAAGGATCAATGAGCTTGGACAATTTTTTTAAACCAGTAAAAAAATTAGAAGTTAAATATGAGATGTCAGATTCAGACATAAGCAATTCAGATATAGAAAATAACAGTTCCATTTCAGAGCAAATAAATAAATTAAAGAATAAACTTAAAGATGTGAAAAATATGAATGCTTATGAATATCTTCGCTTTCTGGCTGTGCATAAATATCTTACTGCAATCTTCAACCATGAAGAGTCACATTCTCGCATAAAACTAAGTCTTGAAATATCACAACAAGTCTTTCAACGTGGTCCATGGATGGCATGTCACATTCGTGAGTGGTCAAAAAATTGGATTGCAACAGAAACTTTACCTGTCTCTAAGCAAGGACAACGAAAATACATATCAACTCTTATTGATGACGAGGATGTGCAAAGTTCTTGTTTGCGTTTTATCCGTACTATGGGAGAAAGATTAACTGCTGATAAATTTCAAAACTATGTTCAGAACAATATCTTACCTAATGTTACTAGCTCTCGCACTTCAATTTCATTAGAAACAGCTCGAATTTGGCTTCGTCGTCTTGGTCTCGTATATTAATGGCATTAGCAAGGTATTTATTATGATGGCTATGAATGCCCTGATGTTGTACAATACCATGCTGTATTTCTTGAAAAAATGAAAGATCTTGAAGCTTTAATGCCACAATTTGTTGATGACAATATGGAAACAGTCATTAACCCTGAAATAAGTGAAGAAAAACAAGTTCATATTCTTGTCACTCATGATGAGTGTACGTTCTATGCTAATGATGGTCATCCTTCAGTATGGGCTCCTCTTGGTATGCCGCCACTACGTAAAAAAGGAAAGGGTAAAGCACTTATGGTTTCAGAATTTTTAACTGAGACCCGTGGTCGCCTTACAATTACACCTGCAGAAATAAATGAATTAAACCTGTCGCCAACATTCCCACAAGAAGCTCGTGTTATTGTTAAACCTGGAAAAAACGATGATGGCTGGTGGAATGCTTCTGACATGCTTATGCAAGTATCCAATAAAGCAATTCCCATTTTTGAAGCAACACACCCAAACTGTATTGGTGTCTTTGCATTTGATAATAGCACCAATCATAGTGCTCTCGCAAGTGATGCACTATGTGCTAAAAATATGAATCTTTTTCCTGGTGGTAAACAGTCAAGATTACGTGACGGCTGGTTTATTAATAAACAAGGTGAACGAGTTACTCAGCCAATGATTTTTCCCAATGATCTTCCTCTTGACGATGATAATTATATATTTCGTGATCAGCCAAAGGGTATTCAACAAGTACTTCGTGAGCGTAAGCTATGGCCTAGTAGTGGTCTTAGATTAAAATGTAATAAGAACTATTGTGATCCAAGTGTACTTAATTGTTGTGCATGTCACCTTTTGTCCGCACAGCCTGATTTTACTATGCAAAAATCAGCATTAGAGGAACTTATTGTTGAACGAGGACATATTTGTGTATTTTATCCGAAGTTTCACTGTGAGTTAAATTTCATTGAACGATACTGGGGTGCCGCAAAACGTTATGCTCGTGAGCATTGCGATTATTCTTGGGCTAGATTACAGGTTACTGTACCTGAAGCACTTGATTCAGTATCACTTACAACTATACGTCGTTTTGCACGAAAAGCATGGCGTTATATGGATGCTTATAGATGTGGACTTACTGGCCGAGTAGCAGAATATGCTGTACGTAAGTATCGTTCTCATAGACGCATACCTAATGATATTAATTTAGAGTTGTGCTAATAGTTTGTATCAAAGAATAGGAATTACCTATTATTTGTATAAGTAACATAAAAAAAAAAAAAAAATCATTTTTATTATATTGTATTTGGAGTAAAACATAAAATCTAAGAATATTATATATGTTGGTATAAGTATGTTATAGACCCAGGTTTCCTGGGTCTATTGTTATAAAGGTTATTATTGTCAGATGATTTATACAATAAATTTTATTTATTTAACAAGTTTAAAAGTTATACGGAAGTTAGATTAATAGGCAGTAATCTTGAGGTGTATGGAATGACTCAAAATACAACTAATAATAAATATTTAATGGTATTTCAATATGCAAACAGAGGAAGTCTTCATAAGTTCCTATATAATAAAGGACTTGACAGTGTTTAATTTAAAAATTACGATCAATAATTGTGATGCTAACTAAAGGTTTTATCGCCACTATGTACCATATCTTACTATTAGTTACCTGATATGTTGCAGTTATTGGTGATTACCTGTTATTTATTTATTCGACCTGTGCAATA